ACACCCCTGAACGTATCATATGTGAAGAAATTGTGGGAGAATGACGCTAAAGTACACATATCATATGGCCTACCAAACAGAGAGTGATAAACAACGTGAAAAAAACGATTATCGAAGACAAAATTCAGCTGAGGGCTGCAAGAGGAATAAGCATAAAAATCAATTGGTTTCTTTCGGTTTTACTTTTTCTGCATCAGAATTACTCACGACCCCATGTTTGTTTTGCAGATTGACATTACGTCACTGAATCCGCAGCAATGGACACTGAACCAGATCTGGTTTCAAGGTCGAACTTACACCAAAGTCACCGAAATGTTGGATCTGCACAAGACTGGGTCGTTACATATTGTTCCACAACCGTTTATCGATCTATATCCACAGCAGATGCGGTATGGCCCTGGGCAGACTAGAAAGGATGACGACGAGGCTGGCCTACCTGTAAACGCAGCCATTTTACCGACTTCCTTTCTCAGCTCAGGCTTCAAGCGGAGGCAGCAGTCTCAACCTGAATCAGTCATTCCAGCCAAACCTGTTCAGACACCATCTTCACCTTTGTTTGGTTATAACAGAATACAGATAGCCGGTCGGCGAGTGAGGTACCAATCCTGGGATTTCCATCTAACTCTTCGCAAGGAAACAGGACTGCGCGTTTACGGAGTATACTTTGCTGGACACAGTATAATCTCAGAAGCTGGCCTAGATGAGACAGTTACCTCTTATTGGGGCTATTCGCCCTTCATGCGAGCCATGACTTCCCTTGAGTCTATGTATGGGGTTGGTGCGATGTCTTCAGAACTGAGTCCAGGAATTGACTGCCCCAAAGAAGCGGTTTACTTGCCTGTACGGCTGGTTTTGTCTGGAGAATCTGGACCAAAAGTGCTGAAGCACGGGATATGTCTGTTCGATTGGCTTGTTCAACCTCCGGGTGGCCCACTGAGAAGACATTTTGAGTTTCCAGGTGGCCGCTCAGAAGCGTCGGGGGGCTCGGAAACCACAGAACACACTAATTTCGCTTTCGGCACGCCTTCACGTGCCCTCGTTGTACGCTCAGTCGCAAGCATATTCAACTATGATTATGTTTTTGATATTGTGTTCCATGCTTCTGGAGTGATTGAATTTTCGGTTACCCCAACGGGTTATATTCATGTGGATACAGTCCCTCCGAATTGGTTTTCCAATCCCTCAAATCAGAGTTGGTACGAAAAAAGTGCTTTTGGCTTTGTTTCCAACACAATGCCACTTTACTTTGTGGCGCATCAACATTTATTCCACTACAAACTCGATATTGATCTTCGGAGCTCTCGAAATTTCGTGAAGGTAATCAATGTTCATGGTCCGGCGAACTACCCCGGTTCCCCTGTCTCTGAACCACCCACTTTGTGGATGTCCAGCCGAATACCAAGGAGTGAACTGGAGGCTCGGTTCCATACTCAGTTTGAGTACCCAAAACAATACTTAGTCTGTGAAACTCAGCGTGAAGAGAAACAAGAAAACCCACAGTGTGTTGGTTTGATCAACAAAGG